AAAAAAAAAAAAAAGAATAGAATGGAACCCAGACATAAAAATCACTTTTATATGTCCTATAAAAAGATTACGTCTTCAGATTAAGAATTAATTGGGTGTCAGCATAATATATTATATGTCTGTTGGGATTTCAGAACATCAATGATAGAGAGAGGACAGGGGAAAACATGAGGTCGCAAACAGGGGAAACACGTCTCTGGTGGCAACTGATTCTTCAACAGCAACAATGGATACGGGAAGATACCCCAAAGATTTCACCTGAAAACGCACTTCCACAACCAACCACACTACCAATCAAGTGAGAGAATGAAGGCATTTTCAGACATGCAGACTCAGAACACTCATCTCCTATGCCTCGTTTGAGAACTTAATTCCAGAAAACAGAGCTTAACGCAAAGAGGAGAAGAAATAGGATTAGAACTCATAGTTCTGCCCCTTGGGGTGGGAAATCCAAAGATGGCAGAAGAGGCCTAAAGAACAGTCTGGGTTGTAGTAGAAAATCCATGGATCTGGGGAGGGGAGCTATCCAAAGTGAGGTTAGTTCCACTAAGTAAATAGTACAGAAACACTGAGTAAGTTCTAGAATTCATTAAAGCACATTATTCTTTCACCAGTCAGAAAAAAGTTCCAGAGAAAATGGAGCCCCTGAAGGTAGTCATGGAATATTCAACAGATTGAGCTCCTTCATGCTCCTGGGTGCTGCAGACTTTTCTGCTGCATACAGCTTACATAAACAGTAACAATTAACAATAAATGTAACAAACAGTAAGCAAGTTGATAAAACAGGGCAAAGACAGCCGGCATCAGAAAGGGGGGTAGCATTTGGGAAGGCCTGTGTGAGGTGAKAGAATCTAGGAGCAACCTGAATCACGTTTGTGAGGGACCCAGGTGGGGAGCTGGAGGAACGTTAAAGGAGTGACAGGCTTGAGGTATTCAAAACCAGAAAGCAGGAGATGGACCGGATGAGAGGTGGCTGTGCCAGATACTGCAAAGTGGGAAGCTGGTATGTGATCTAATTTTGACTTTAAGGAAAACATGCTGAGTTCCAGGAGCAATATGGACGACCCAGGGCCTGGAGTAAGAGTAGGGAGAACAGTCAGAAGCGCCTACAGAAACCCAGGCAAAAAGTGATGGTGCTTATGACTGCGTGCTGGCCATGGAGATGGCAGATGGAAGGTCACGGGGTGTGTGTGCAAAGTAGAAGCAATTAGGATAGCTCTAAGACAGATCTTCCCTCTTAGGTCTTTTCTTTCTTTCTTTTAAAAATTTTTGTACTTGTAGATGAACAGAATGCCTTTATTTTATTTGTTTATTTTTATGTGATGCTAAGGATCAAACCCCAGTGCCTCACACATGGTAGGCAAGCACTCTGCCATTGAGCTATAGCCCCAGCCCCTTTCTTAGGTTTTTTAATTTCCCTGGCAGCCCTTCTATGAGTGACCTGGTTGTCACCTTACTGAAAAGTAGTAGAGTGGGATAAGTGGCTCATGGACTAATTTCCCCCCAAATTCCACTGTCCTTGTGTTCTACAGAATACAACTCCTGATCCTCAGGTGAGTATGTGGCCATTCAGAATAAGGAACACATGTCCCAAACCCTCCTCCCCCTCAAGCTATGTGTGGCTATGTGACAGAATTCTGGTCACAGGTAGGTAAACAAACATATATGTGCAACTTCCAGGAAGCGTTCTCAAAGGTAGGGCGACTGCCTTTTCTTTTTCCCCTTCTGCTAGCTAAACTACCCACACAGTAGCAGCCACCTTTGATGATGAGGCAGAAGCTGCATATTGAGAATGGACAGCAACAAAAGCCCAGGTCCCTGATGATCACAAAACTGCCTYGACAGCCCAGGCATTCACGTGAGAGAGGAGCAAAGTGGGATTTGTTAATGTCACCATTATTTTGGTTTTAGAGTCACTTTGACCAAATCTAATCCCACATGAATAGGGGAATGTGGCTGCCATTGCTAGCTGCCTGCCCAATACTCATTCCCTCTTTGTAAACCAAAAACCAAAAGTTCACCACTACCATCAATAATTTAAAAAAAAATGTCATTTAGAGTGCCAACATGCTGAGTTAAAACTCTTGAATTTCTAAGTTCCCTTGTAATTACAGTGGCATGTGACAGGGTTGTGAATGAAATGAAGCACAAGTCTACTAGGGAGTGTTCCTATTTTCTCACAAGAAGCAATATTTCTTTCTGCCAGGAATGCAGAAGCAATGCCTGGAAGGATGGCA